AACACACACACACACACACACACACACACACACACAAACACACACACACACACACACACACACACACACACATACACACACACACTTACATACAAAATCATGGTGATCCGAAATTGTGGGGGGGACATTTGATATGATGTCCCCCCTCTGAAAATTCGTGGGGGGGACATGTCCCCCTGTCCCCCCCTGGATTTGCGCCCCTGTACCCAGGGAGACATAGATTCGGGCAGCAGTAGTATCGTGGCCTCCATTGCGGCTTGTCTCTGATGGAGCGTGTGTGTATGCACTGTCTGGCTAGATGATGAAGCATCTCAGTCTCAGACTGTATACTGTCTAGACTTCAATATAGCCCGCATAATAACTCCTGTGTGGCTGATCGATAGACACGTATCGTGTGCACGTGTGTGCATGGTAATAAACCCATTATACTCTACTATTTGGCTGCTTCTTAGTTGCCCTGTCAAACAGGTTGTGCTTAATATGTATTAAATCGTTACTCATTTGTGTTATTATGGGATCAGGTGCTTTGTTAGTGTTAGTATTTCACACGGACAGCACTATTATTTATACATCTAAGCAGGAGGCATATTTCTTGATATTAGCCCAGTGCTTCTTATATTTAGCCGTGCTGATACAGGTAGTAAATGTTCGGCAGACGAGAATTTCGAAACGTTTACGAGTGGTGCTTATAAATGGATGGGTGAGCAGCTACATCAAGCTCAACCTTATACAGTAGAAGTCCAAAAATCCGGATGCCAGAAATCCGGACCAACCGAGAATCCGGACTTTTTGAAAACTAAAATTTAACTGTTAAAACCAAATTAAACTAAAAATAAATAATCAATTTGTATAAAACAACCTCCACTTTCTTTTGTTTAAATTTAATGTATTTTTCTTTTACAATGTTCATTTTTAAACATGATTTCAAGCATTACACGCTCTTTTTTGTAGTGAAAAAACTTTGTTTACATTTTTGTCATGTGTTGACTTTAGTTTAATTTAAAACTGCTCGCTTTGATAAATGAAACATGCTGTATATTGAATCAAAATTTACCTGTTCATCTCTTCTTTATTCCTCCTTAAATTTGAATTTTGAAAGTACTGCCCGAGAATCCGGAAAATCTGAAAATACGGACCGACCCAATCCCTGAGCAGTCCGGATTTTTTTACTTCTACTGTCTTGTCTGTTTTTGGTGTTCTACTGTAGGTTAGTGCTTACAGGACGTCGCAGGCCTGCAGATATCCATGTGTATGCGTGACGTTCTCTCGCAATGCTGTGGAACTAGAGCACTAGCCAGCTGTACTGCCATCTGCTGGGAGAAAAATGTTTCATTGCCGTGCATGCGTGGCTAACGTAAATAATTCCTCTCTTTGCTTTCAGTGTCCAGAGAGCTGCAGCTGGTCAGCATTGTGATAACGGTCGTGCTGGCGATTGCGTTTATAACGTGTGTCGTGAGCTGCTACCGGTCTCGCCCGCGCTCGTGGAGCGACGACAGACAACTCCCGAGCAGGACACGGGCCCACGATGCAGCGCCATCTACGTCAAGTGTACGTATACTATATAATAATAAAGCGCGCATGGTCGTGGGGGTGACGTATGGGCGGTTGAAGAGTGGCGATAGCTGCGTTATGCTGATTAGTTATTCCTCAGAATACAGCCAGTCTGGTGTGCTGGGGCAATGGCGGCTATGTGGAGTTTAATGTTGAAATGTTTTCATCTGGGTCGAGAGATCGAGAGAGAGGGGCAAGAGAGCGAGGGAGGGAGCGGGAGACAAAGACACGAAGTGGGAGTGTAAAAAATGTACAGAAGAGGAACAGACTATGATATTGAGAGGCATAACTTAAAGCTCTGTGGTCCAACAGTTATCGTATCCATCTTTCAGTGTGAAGGCTGTGAGTTAAAACCCTGGCCAGGAAAGTGGTTTTTCTCAGATGTAAAAACCTGGCTCTCAACATTGGTGACCGAATCCCTTGTGGCTCAGATAACCACGTAAACTGCAATCTCCAGGCCAGTCTCCAGTAATAGGGACGAAAAAAACCACTGACAACGTAAAGAACTCTGTCAGTGACACCCCCCCCCCCCAATGTCAGCAAAGTGCCAAAGAAGTCGGCGTGGCGTAATCCTCTAGGGTTAACTAGTGCACGAGACCTCAAGTTCCTAACTATACAGCTAGTTAGTTGACGTGACTAAGACACAAGTGCTGAACCACGCCGCAGAAGAAGGAAGGAGGGGATGCAAAAGCAACAGGAAAACAGAGATTTGGTGTAAATGATAAAACTGTGTATAAAACTTAAAAGGGCATTATTGAATCCCTTTTTAAATCAAGAGTGTAATCGAGAGAATAGTAGAGAGGAGGGGGGGGGGTATTATTTTTAGCGTTTAATTTTACGCCATTAGTAGAGCAATTTACTAGAATTGGTTTTTCAACCTGTCGATGTTTGAACCGTGTATCACCTTGACCATTTATACTCAATCCCTATCAGGCCCTAATAGACCCAGCCAGGCACATCCTAATTCCTATTAGTATTACTCCAGAATCCCCTACTCCCTTTCCTTAACTTGCTTGCAGTACTCGTCAGAAGTTTAGGTAGATGCAGTGGTGTACTTGTAACTGACCGAGAGATATATACTATATGTTCTTAACTTTGCATGAATTAATTTCAGTAGTTCCCAGAGAGTTTTCATATGATGTATTTTCCGACTGAATGGGTTTATTTCCGGTTGGCCTACTCCCATTTCGCCTACGGCAAAATTCCCATTTCGCCTACAGCAAAATTTCCAGTTGGTCTACACCCATTTTGCCTACTCCCAATTCGTCTACGCTCAAATTCTACCCCATTCCCATTTCGTCTACGATCGGTTTGTTCACTAAATAATCATTTATAAATAATAAAATATGGTTTTGATTGGCATACATACATAGGATAGACTACAGGAACCAGAGGTACAAGAAAAATAGGTACAAATAATGAGAACACAACTTGACAAAAATAGTTCTGAGAGTAGACGAAATGGGAGTAGGCGAAATGGGAATATGCCGAATACTGAGAGTAGCCGAATGCGAGTAGGCGGAAATGGGAGTTCTAGGACCAACGTGGGATGTTACCGAATTAGTAGTTATCGCGGATAGGGTCTATTGTCTCCCTGGTACTGCCTGGAGATAGGCGAGGGTACGGATCCGGCATATTTAGAGTAGTACCAGGCGTACGTTCGGTATTACCGCGACCGTAGCAGGCTACGTATCCGGCAGTGACCCAGGCAGCGCGCGCAAAATCCATTTGAAATGTGGGGGGACCACCGTAGTTACGCCAAAGGGGGAACCCTCCCCCAGAAAAATTTTGAAAATTAGACCCCTCAGATGCGTTTTCTGCGCGAGCAGGGGGGCGTCCAGGACCCCCTGGCCCCCAGCGGGCGTGTACAGGGCATTTGTCAGAGGGGGGATCTAACCATAACCCAACTTGGAGGACGCGAAGGGGGTCTGCGGGGCCACTTCCCCCCGAAAATTCTTTGAATTAACCCCCTCAGATGCCGTTTTCTGCGCGAGCAGCAGGCCGGGAGCGGACTCCCTTGGACTCCCCCCCCCCCCTTGTACACGCCCCTGCCCCCTCTGTACACGCCCCTGCACACACACACACACCGCGCACCACACACACCACACCACACACCACCACACACACACACACACAACAACACACACACACACACACACACACACGCACATGCATTTGGTTTGTGTATAAAGGATCTAACGAATTAAGGCGGTATCCACATGCATGTCATAAAAATCAAGCAAACAAAAGGAGCCAAAACCAATCATTTGTGATGGTGAGGCCTGATCACAAAATTAAATTGGATCGGTTATTATTGTTGGCTCCAGTCTTCGAGGAGAGTCTATCCAATACTGTCATATCATAGTATATGCGTGTTATATTACAGTCATCGATATTTGCGCATAAAAATACATTTAGTTAAACCCGATGCTCAGTTACTCAGTCTGATCCTCTTTGCGTGAATATAAGCTCGTTGGTTCCCAGCTAATCTTGAACTAGTGCTCTGAAGATGTGAGCTGGATATCTCCTAACTTTCATAACATACTTGTCTCTTGATGACTGTCTGCATGAAGAATTAATTTAATATAAGCAAAAAAAACCGTCGTAAAAAGAAACGGCTAACTAATTATATCAAGACACTAGTTTTTTTGTTGTGGCATGATCCAGTTATTACGCCTCTCAAATCACTTGTAAAGTAAATGAAAGCTGAGCCAAAAAAGAACGGAACAGAAGCCAATCGTTGACGCACTATCAACACACAATAAAAGGTTCTCACTTCACAAAACCACACACACAACACACCACCACACACACACACACACAACCACAACAACACACACACACACCACACACACACAAACACACACACACACACATACACGACACGCACACTTACATAAAATCATGGTTGATCCGAAAATTGTGGGGGGACATTTGATATGATGTCCCCTCTGAAAATTCGTGGGGGGACATGTCCCCCTGTCCCCTCTCTTGGATTTGCGCCCCTGGTACCCAGGGGACATAGATCGTCGGAGCAGTAGTTATCGTGGCCTCCAGTTGCGCGCATTGTCTCTGATGGAGGTGTGTGTATGCACTGCTCTGGCTAGATGATGAAGCATCTATCAGTCTCAAGACATGTATACTGTCCTAGACTTCAATATAGCCCGCATGAATAACTCCTGTGATGGGCTGCATCGATAGTACACGTAATCGTTGTTGCCGTGTGGTGCCATGGTAATAAACCATTATACTCTACTATTTGGCTGCTTCTTAGTTGCGCCGTCATTAACAGCGTTGACTGCTTCAATATGTATTAATCGTACTCATTTGTGTATTATGGGATCAGGTGCTTTTTAGTGGTAGTATTTCACTCACGGACAGCACTAGTTATTTATACATCTAAGCCGGAGGAGGCATATTTCTTGATATTAGCCCAGTGCTCTTATATTTAGCGCGTGCCCTGAACAGGGTAGTAAATGTTCGCTGCAGAGAGATTCGAAATCGTTACGAGTGCTGCTTATAAATGGATGGTGGCAGCAGCTACATCAAGGCTCAACCTTATGACAGCGTGAAGTCCAAAAATCCGCGATGCCCAGAATCCGCGGACACGAGAATCCGGACTTTTTGAAAACTAAAAACTTTAACTGTTAAAACAAATTCAAATAAAAATAAATAATCAATTTGTAGTAAAACAACTTCCACTTCTCTTTTGGTTTAAATTTAATGCTATTTTTCTTTTTACAATGTTTCATTTGTTAAACATGATTTCAAGCATTACACGCTTCTTTTTTTAGTGAAAAAACTTTGTTTACATTTTTGTCAGTGTGGGTGACTTTAGTTAATTTAAAACTGCTCGCTTGATAAATGAAACATGCTGCTATATTGTAATCAAAAATTTACCTGCTCTCCTTAAATTTTGAATTTTGAAAGTACTGCCACGAGAATCCGGAAAAGTCTGAAAATACGGACCGACCCCAATCCTCTGGAGCAGTCCGGATTTTTTTAGCTTCTGACTGTCTTGCTGTTTTTGGTGTTCTACTGTAGGTTAGTGCTTACAGACGTCGCAGCCTGCAGATATCCATGTGTATGCGTGACGTTCTACTCTGCAATGCTGTGGAACTAGAGCACTAGCCAGCTTTACTGCCATCTGCTGGGCGAGAAAAATGTTTCATTGGCCCGTGCGATGCGTGTGCTAAACGTGAATAATTCCTCTCTTTGCTTCAGTGTCCAGAGAGCTGCAGCTGGTCAGCATTGTGGATAACGCGTTCGTGTTGGCGATTGCCTTTATAACGTGTGGTCGTGAAGCTGCCTACGGTCTCGCCCGCGCTCGGGAGCGACGCAGACAAACTCGCCGAGCAGGACACGGGCACGATGCAGCGCCATCTAGTCAGTGTACGTATTACTATATTAATAAATAAAGGCGCGCATGGTCGTGGGGGACGTATGGGCGGTTGACAAGGTGAGCGATAGCTGCGTTATGCTTATTAGTTATTCCTTCAGAATACAGCCAGTCTGGTGTGCGGGGCAATCGCGGCTATGTAGTTTAATGTTTGAAATGTTTTCATCTGCTGTCGCTGTGTCGCGGGGTGTCTGGCCGTCGCTTGTTCTGGCGGCCGTGGTCGTGGGTCGCTTGTCTGGCAGGCGTCTGGGTGTTCGGTCTGGCGAGGTGTTGGTCGTCGCGTCTGCGGGCGTCTGGGTCGGCTTGTTCAAAGTGTGTGTCTGGGTTGTCGTTCTGGCGGGCGGTCTGGTCGCTTGCTGGCGGGTCGGGTCGCTTGTCTGGCAGGCGTCTGGGTCGTATCGTCTGCTCAGGCGTGTCTGGGTTGTCCGTCTGGCGGGTGTCTGGGTCGCTTGTCTGGCAGGCGTCTGGGTCGTTCGTCTGGCGGGTGTCTGGGTTGTCCGTCTGGCGGGCGTCTGGGTCGCTTGTCTGGCGGGTGTCTGGGTCGCTTGTCTGGCAGGCGTCTGGGTCGTTCGTCTGGCGGGCGTCTGGTGTCGTGTCGTGTCTGGCGGCGTGTCTGGGTTGTCCTCGTCCTGGCGGGCTCTGAGGTCGCTTGTCTAGGTGGGTGTCTGGTCGCTTGGTCTGGCGGGCGTCTGGTCGCCTGTCTGGCAGGCGTCTGGGGCGCCTGTCTGGTGGGCGTCTGGGGCGCCTGTCTGGTGGGCGTCTGGGTCGTTCGTCTGGCAGGCGTCTGGGTCGCCCGTCTGGTGGGCGTCTGGGTCGCCTGTCTGGTGGGCGTCTGGGGCGCCTGTCTGGTGGGCGTCTGGGTCGTTCGTCTGGCAGGCGTCTGGGTCGCCCGTCTGGTGGGCGTCTGGGTCGCCTGTCTGGCGGGCGTCTGGGTCGCCCGTCTGGTGGGCGTCTGGGTCGCCCGTCTGGTGGGCGTCTGGGTCGCCTGTCTGGCGGGCGTCTGGGTCACCCGTCTGGTGGGCGTCTGGGTCGCCCGTCTGGCGGGCGTCTGGGTCGCCTGTCTGGTGGGCGTCTGGGTCGCCCGTCTGGCGGGCGTCTGGGTCGCCTGTCTGGTGAGTGTTTGCGTCATCTCACTATACTTCCAGCAGGATAGAGCAGCGTGAGCCATTAAATAAACACAGCTGAGGTGTCTGTAGCAATGGTTTAGGGCGTATCTGTGGCCTGCCCTAGCTGCTTACACATACCCGGCCACTCGAGCAGCCCCCTCTATCAACTTACCTATTAGCTTATTAGGTTCCCTTAGTTGGTGCCTTAGTGTAATTTAATCATCCTGGCTTAGGTTACACAGGGCTTCAGACAACCTCATACTATTCTTAGCCAGTCTTACGCTAGGCGCAGGTGTATGTATTGTTTATTTAACCTATTGCCGTGCAGCTCAGGTATGTGTGCTTCCCTGTGTCATTTGTACGCGCCCACTGTCAGACATATACCAGACTGACCCGGAGTGTAAGTGCGATCTATAATCTGTTGCTACTCGGTTCTAAAAGTGTAAAATAGCAATTTTGAGCTGAACTGGTTCTTATATTTTGCCCCTGCTTATTTAACCTTACACGAAAAATCTAAACTAGGCGATAAATATAATAATAATGGTGCCTAATAATCAGATAATGAGCATGGAACCCATACTATAATTGTGCAATTATATGTATATATGTATTGCAACTATCAACTACACTTCTACTTTGGTTCCACATAATTAGTGATAACCTGCTTGCTGATATAAATGTCAGGCCCAAAGGAAGGCTTATAATTGAGAATACTAAATCAGTTTAGTTAAAACAGGGTTTAACGAACCTACATGCCAATTTTTGTTGTTCACTAAACTACTATTACTAATTGAAGTTTAATATTGTTTCAAAATGACCGTATATATATATATATATATATATATATATATATATATGCATGCATGCACATAATTTAAAATTGGATAAATATTGGTGTTGATGTGTTTTACATGTGTATGTGAGCATACAATTCTAAATTAGGCATCAAGTTTTATTCAGAATGTACACTATTAGCATTATTTCCGACGGATGTGGCGCATTCTGTTGTCGCAGAGATTCATTGTTAGCACTGTATATGATGATTACATGTTGCAGGTTATCTATGACCCGGCAGAGGCATTGGCTGGGGAACACGCTCTGGCAGCCCCTCAGCACACGCCACCTAGCCGCATGGAAATGCAGTACCCAGCATCCATACAGCTGCCGGATGGCGAGGAGCGACCCTATGGTAACTGCACCTATTGGCAGCTTCACAGCGCCGAACAGCAGAGCGAGATACTTAGGCAGTGTATTCGACCTCCCCCAAACAGGACTATACACGATATCAAGGTCTTGCCGCCGCATCGGCCTCATTCGTTATTGCTGCTGCCCAGCCACCAGCAAAACAATTCTCCACAACTAGACAAGAAGGGAGACAAGACCCCTCTAGTCACGGCGCAGCATCACAAGGACGAGGAGGCTACGGCACAGTTTCGCGGCGTGAGGAGGCACGCTCCACTGGCCTACTTAGAAGCCCCACCACCCAGCTACGTTAGAGTAGTTGCCGCATCCACCACTAGTGAATCAACAAGGCACCCGCCACCAGATGTCTGACACCGGCCGGCCCGGCGCATGCTGTGCATTCGCGTTTATTTAGTCTTTCACTGTGGATCAAGGTTGTAGGAAGTCGAGCGCGCACGTTGCTACGGCAGACGCGACCGCAAGAGTGACCGCCGGTCGTCGTGGCGACCGGATCCGTGTGAGATCGTCGCGGCGATCGGATCTGTGTGAGATCGTCGCGGAGCCTGCAATGCCACTGCTTGCGTATCTGTGATCATTTGACAGCTGCTGTGGGCGTGGCGAGGCCCGCTCATCCCAGTGTTGGTGTTGTCGCTTTGTTGCTTCATTGCGTTGTGTGGCATCAGTGCTGTCCAGACTACAGTGAGAGGAGTACAGTGTGAGGCGATGGTCAGATGTTGGAACGTCCAGGAGTGTTTGTTCTGCCACTGTGCGAGGTCGTCTCAGCTGGCGATACACGCGTGGAGAAACCATGGTGCCACAGTACAGATATGTACAAGAGCTGTGATATTAATAATTATTATATAACATTATTGTTTATTGTCTTCTATGTGTTCACATGCTCGCAGAGTGTGATGCGGCATGCTTAGGACTAAAATAAATTCACAAGCCACTGTCAGCTGATAGCGAGAAAAGTACTGTGATTACCGAAACTCTACACACACACACCTATGCCAGACCTGAACACTCACATACACTTGCTTGCACGCACGCACGTCCGCACACAAATGTCTACGTGCACATGTCACTGTGCGCGCGCGTATATTCAGACATACCCATGCAAACACATGAAAGTTTGCCGACAGATAATTTGCCCTGGTATAATACTGGGAATCGCCCTGATACATGTGACGCAGCATATAGAAGAGGAGAGATGTCTTACGTACCCCCATATTTCCACGATCTCCCGCTACTCCTCGTATAACCACTGCTCCGCTGTGCAGGACAGATCTTGGTGTGCTGGGGACCACTCGGGGGCCCAATGTACTGCTCGTGTTCAGGTATGGCTGCACGTTTTGCCATGCCGCTGGGTCTGCTGCTGTCCGGCATCGGTGCTACTCTGTCGCCCTACACGCACGTACATACGCACACACACCACGCACGCATGCCCACCAAGCATGCACGCACACACAAACACGAACGCACACACAAGCACGTACACCGTGATGGTGCTTGGTCTGTGAAGTAATGCCACGGCTCTAGTGGCTGAGACGTATTGCCCCTGCCGATCAGGTACTAAGATATCATCTCTTGGTTGTCCCAATACTCCATAGTGCACTCCATTTAGGCGAAGCAGCGCATGGAAACACAAGGGGCGCCCGTATCACAACCCTCCCATTTGCTATATTTGCCACCAGCCTGACTATTTGTGAGCTATGTCCCCGATTACGTGGCTCTATGTTATTGCGTCTACCACTACTCGGACGTTACACGTGTTTAATTTGTCTGCGTGTGCGCGTGTGCGTGTGCGTGTGCGTGTGTGACATCCTCTATGTTAATCTCTTTATGCACCGAATGGGCGTAGTCAAGCTGTTGGGCGGTGTCATACCGCGCTGTTGCCCTGCCGATCGGCTTGTTACGCTTCTGCTCAGGTTGCAGCGATTACCACTATGTAGGTAATGTACGATAACAGTATACTCACACGGCGTAGGACGAGCATCATAGAGCTTCTCGTACGTTTCAGTCGAGGGAAGCTGCTCGCTTCCATGCACGTACGAGCTATCTACGGCACCCTGACGCTCATGCTTTGACCATGGGCAATGATTACGCTCTCCTCTACTTGCCTGCTGTTGGGTAGGGGTGGGACGATAAATCTATATGTCGATGTAGCGCGATACAAGCCCTTATACGCTTATCGATACGTTTGACTATCTACGATACGCGTATCGATACTCTACTGCATAAAATCCATGTCATTTAGTACTGTAGCGTAGTTTCATCGAAATACAAAAGAAACACGACACAATTCGTTAAATTAAGCGTTCACGTGATTGGTTGAGTCCTGGTTGAGTGTATTCTTGTGGCCAGTCAAACGATTTTTACTATCATGTAAACTCTGAGAGATGCATAATACGAAAAGACGTTTGATTTGTCATCGTCCTATAATTTAGCCAACCAAGCGATTTTTTTTCAAGTTGAGTAAGGTGAATGACACAGAAAATTTTTACCAAGATTGGTTGGTATTTTTTATATGATCTATATAAAAATGAAGGCGTTGGAAGAATTGACAAAACAAAAAACGGTTTGCAAATTTGTGCTGAATTGAGCAGAGCTCGGTAGTGTCTCTTTAAGGTATCGCAATACGTATCGTATCATGAATGGTGTATCGTGAGCGGCCAGTATCGTCCCACCTCTACTGGTTGGGGAGAACTGGTAGGCACAGCGCCTACACGTCTATATCTTCTATGTGTATTATTTATTTTAAATTCTTCGATCGCCACCAAGAGTGGGCGTGCTATTCTAAGGTGCCCCGGAAGTTGTGAGTCGGGTGGCGTTTGCCTAGTTATACCGGCGTGTCGAGCTGTTCTGCCCTCCCTGTCCGTTCGTAGGGGTTTACGTGGGGCACGCGAAGCCATTGTAATGGCATTTACGAAAGTATAGCAAACAGACGGACGCTGTGAACGTGCACAGCGATCGAGAGCTGTGCGTGATCTAGCCAGGATCGTCTACACGGCTCGTTGTCCCTCCCATCAGTGGCTTCACAAATGAAATCTGTTCGAAGTGTGGAACACTGTAGCAGCGAGGCGTTAAATGTCACCGTCGCTTGGTCGGTCGTGTCGACGGACGTGCGATAGCAACTGGACGTCGTCGGCGGGACAGCAGAGGGGTCACTCTGCAGCTTCTGTGTGGCCAAAACTCACTTGGCTTCAGCGGCGTTCCAGCTGCTGCAACTCGGCTGTTGATGAGAACGTCTTTCGATAAGCGCTCCATCTCTGTATGCGCTCTACATCGTTGTTCCGAGTGCTTTCAGTGATTACATGCAACGACTGCCAGCCAGGTTAACGCATTTGTCGTCTGTCGAATGATTCCGTACGTGATATTTACGCCAGCGTAACCTGGAGCATCACTTTGATTTTTTTCACGTCTATCCATAAAATATAATTCGTGCGAGAACCTGGCTTTTGAGTGTTGGGACTTAGTTTCAGCCGTGAGTAACGTTGTGGCAGATCTGCCACACGTGAATGAAACATCACGAGGTTCTGCTTATAACATCAGACTTATAGATATCTGGCAAGGATACGCCATGGTAAAGAAACGAAACGTGTTTCGGTGTGACGCACTGAAAGCGATCTAACGTCTTCGATTTTTTCTCGATGCATTTCACGACAAAACGTCTCCCTGATGTCGCCATTCTGGATCGAGCTAGATCGAGTCATAGCATCCGGTTTGGTTGTTGCTTGCATGCTGCTGTGCCGTTGGCTTCGTTTCTGGTGGCAACCGGATGAAGTCACACGCAGTGAAACGCCACATAGTCGGTCACTACCATGTGCGCAACGCCAACGTGTTTCTCACGACAGCGCCTTCTCATCTGGCACCTGTCGGCGTTTTCGTCGTTGAGTTTAATGTGTTGAAGGGCCAGTCCAGACCCTGTAGCATGGTAGTTCGATAGGTGTCGACGTGAAGGTGCGTCGCAACCGACGCTCAACTCTCATCAGACCGACGACGTCTCAAGCGGAAGCGCGTGCTGGTTTACACACAAAGCCCAAGTGTTCATCTGCGCATCCCTGCGATTAGTAGCACCCCGTTCTCCCATCTGCTAACCAGGAGGCGCGCGTGTAGTTGGTGCACGTCGATTCAGCTCAAGTGGTGATCATGAGGCTAGGCGCTGAGTCCTGGAACGCTACCTCCGTTTTTTGGAGATAGTTGGACTGACTGCGCTGCAACGCGCTCATCGTTCATCTTCCGTATATTTGTGGTTTTGGGTTTGCAATGCCATAGGTGTGTGGTGGGGGTAAAGTGTGAATGTATGTCCACGACCAAGACATTGAAGAGAGGCGGTACTACTATAATCGCTATAACCCATAGACGTGATTTCGGTCTGTTAGTGTCATCCAGTCGCACGAGCACACGAGCGTCCCATGTCCAGTCCGCATTACACACACTCTCTCTCTCTTCGCCTCTCTCTCTTTCTTTTTTCTCTCTCTTTCTCTCTCTCTCCCTCCCATCATAGTAAAAGAGTTCATACCATTGGATACAAATTGACAATGGCGGCGTGCTGCACTGTCGTCTGTGACGTTTTTTGACTCGTGAATCTCAACCGAAAAATCATTTACACCTTGGTTGACAGTCCGTTTCAGACAACCCTGTTGCGACGATATGCACGCGCGTACAACATGTGTTGAATGTGTCGCCGCGGTTGTTCGCGTAGGTCGTGTATGTCCGCGCAGGTCGTGTATGTCCGCGTAGGTCGTGTATGTCCGCGCAGGTCATTGGCGTGTTTACTCGAGGCCGGTGAGGTCTGCTGAATAATCATGTAACGTGTAGTATGCCTGAATCATGATGGCGATGACTTTACGCTTTAATTTTCGCGTAGACGGGGCACCTGTGCGGCCGATTAGCCGTGGCTGTGACAGTTGTCGAAATGTATTAGTTCTGAAATTTTGCATTTTGCAGGTGTGCTAGCTTTTCGTATGTGAAGTGCCGGGAGCACGTTATTTTACAGTGGCTTGTGATGCCTGCGCTGTGAGTCACGTCGGGTTGAAAACAACGGGGTGCGCTAGAGGTGAGATGAAAGCACAGCGGCGAAGCACCGAGGCCTTCTGCGTCGTACAGGGTATAGATGACCAGGGTAATATTTTCGCCTATCTTTTCTTTTGCTATTCAAAGCTACGCTAGTAGATTTCCCGATTCCGCAGAGCAAATGCGTATTGAATGCGAACGCGTGCGGCAGCGTGCCGTGTCGTTAGCATGGATCCGAGGTGAGCACGGGCTGGCGTCGGCACCATGTCTTCACACTCACAAGCTTGCAACGCCGACAACACGTATATATATAAGGGTAACATTCTATCGTTCTCAGCATTAGGTGTGCCCGCTGTGCTTTCTATCGCAGTTCTTCATCCCGGTGGCTATGCGAAGGTGTTTGTACCTTTTACGTAAAGATGAAACGGAAGTGGTGTTGCTGTTATATTTGCGTTTTTTTTTCCAAATAAAGGATTGCCGGCGATTTCCACACTTTAGCTTTTAATACCGGATAACGTCGAGACTTTAATGTTGACAATGTCGGTTTTCTATGTGTAGTCGTACCTTCTGAATCCAGCTGTTTATTTTGGTCAAACCTATACGTCAGCTTTGTCAGAAACATCGTTGCTTTCCACTGAAGACATCATAGTAGTGATATCAGGAGTGAATAAAAACGAATTTTACTTTTATTCACTCCTGAGGATATACTTGTCAGTAAAGCCCGGCGCACACGTGAGTTATTTTACTCAAGTAAAATGACGCATGAGTCATTTTACTCACGTGTGCGGCGGATTTTCGTTGAGTAATTTGACGCATGCGTCATTTTACTCACGTGTGCGGCGGATTTTCGTTGAGTAATTTGACGCATGCGTCATTTTACTCACGTGTGCGGCGGATTTTCGTTGAGTAATTTGACTCATGCGTCATTTTACTTGAGTAAAATAACTCACGTGTGCGCCGGGCTTAAGTATTGTTATTACTTGACAGTATACCGCAAGTGTGAGAAGGTGGGGATTGTAAACATGCTTACGTGTGTGTGTGTGTGGCCATCAACATAACAAATGCGTGTAAACAGTGCTTTGCTAGGTTTTGATGAGGAGGGCTATTGGCATACGCTCGTTAGCCCACAGCTAGACAGTTGTATGTATTTTTAAAACTTACAGAACGTTTTTTCACTCGAGGTTTAGGCGAGATATGCGTGAGCAGTCATAAGGAGCCTATGCGCATAACTAACATCGTTTACATGTGGAGACACTCATCATGATTAATTGGAAGGTCAGCATAGTGCCATGGAGTGAATGTCACCAGGGACGTATCCCCTTTCTAGTCGACTGCTAACCTTTATATATAGCCATCTGAATAAACGCAGGTGGACTCCGAAAAGAAAATGCGTAGCAGTTGATAAAGGTTGTAAAACTGTTGTGTGCCACCCGGCCTAATAAGTGTCGAGATATGCAGTGGCGCCATCTGGAGGCGTTAGTCGTCACTGCGTGTATTCTTGCCTTCATTCTGATGGGCGACGCGACGGTGGCCGTGGTGAAGCGGACCCACCGAGCCGAGTACTGTGAATGTAGTTGTGTGGCAAACCAGTTGATTTTACCCACTTTCACCCGTTGAGTTGAAATCGGTGATGTTGCTGCTGCTGCTGCTTGTTTGTAATTGCCTCGTGTAGCAAACTTCGACCTGATTAGCTATATGATTGAAGTTTATTTCGGCTTGTTGCCTAATTACATGGGGGTGATCAAGTAGAGCAACGGCGCGCCTGTGTTAGTGTGTGCGTGTTAGTGTGTCCGTGTATTGAGTGTGCACGTGCGTGTGTCTGTGAGTGGGTCCGTTTGCGTGTGTGAATGTGCGTGTGCGAGGGTATTTTGACGAGGAATTATTATAGCGTTGCTTCGCACATATTTAGTGTTAATGTTATACAGTGAGAGCTTGGGAGGTCTGCTGATATCGCCAGTGTAAGAGCAGGAGAGCTGCGCGACCCGTTGCCCTTGATCACCCTCGTGAAGACCCAACCACTCATCAAAATGATCTGAGTAGGCATTGTTCTGGGCATTAACTGCCAGTGCCTGTCGTAATAAATATGTATATTGCAATTGTAATAAAAACGCCTTCTAAACAGTCGGTGTTCGAAAAATACCTTGGAATTTTTCGTTGTCATTTTGTAAAGAACTGGGAGTTCTGATAGGGTGGTACTGAGGTTTCACGGCAATGCTTTTTGCTGTGCTAAATCCATAAAAGATATCTAGTCGCCGTGAGCAAGTCACAGTAAAGCAGAGCATGATATATAACTACTACTGTACGATATGTAACAACTATAGCTGCGTTCACACGAGATTCACGGCCTCGCTGGCTCCGTACTTATCTGGTATATCACGATGACAAAAACAACGTACAAAGTCATGTGAGAGTATGGTGTGCGTGTGATCCAACTGTTCCTGAAAAACGAAAATTAACTGTAGAGTAGAGAGCAGTGATTCCCCTTCGTGCTAATTCTACAGAAAGCATGTTTAATGGTGACGTGAGGACGACTGCAGACGGTGTTATTTGCGCAAAATGTGATGTAATGTGATTCTGTAAAAAACAATGCGAATTCTTCAGCCATTGTAATTCTGCAACCCACAATTTGTTCTCATGTTAATTCTGTTGATAGTATATAATAGGCGTTTATTGAACAGGCGAACGTGTTAGTTACTATATTACTCATATTGTAAAATCTGATTGCGATACATTGCCAGCACCACAGGCACTTGAAGCGTTTCAATAAAATATAATGCTAACTAAATACGAAATCTATTTACTACCAAATTCTTAATGTTCCTATACTCTCTTTCACCTATTATTGCCGACAGTTTCCTGTCAATTCCGTCCAAATCCTACGTGCAACCATATACGCTGCCGGCGCCATTGCTCTCGCGGCTCCACTGTTGCACGCTTACACTAATATATATAGTGTAAGCGTTGTCCAGCGTGTAAGCGTAGTCCACTGTTGCACGCTTACACTATATAATATATTAGTGTAAGCGTGCAACAGTGGAGCCGCGAGAGCAATGGCGCCGACAGCGTATATAGTTGCACGTAGGATTTGGACGGAATTGACAGGAAACTGTCGGCAATAATAGGTGAAAGAGAGTATAGGAACATTAAGAATTTGGTAGTAAATAGATTTTGTATTTAGTTAGCATTATATTTTATTGAAACGCTTCAAGTGCCTGTGGCCAGCACTACATTGCAAGAGATCCCGTACGGTACGGACGACAAGTTTTTATTGCTTAGACGGGAGGGAACACAGACGAACGTTTTGCGTAACTGCTCAATATTCAGGGTTGTACTGTGTAATATCTAATGTAATTGTAATGTATAATGTCTAACGCAACTTCTACAATGTTCGGTAATACACGGACATGACCTGGCAATCATTGGCGTGACAGGGCCACTCGAGATACGCGAGAAAATCTGATGAAATTCGTATGAATATCATATTCTGGCTTTCCGTTTACAGGTTGCTACATCCGGTGGTACGGTAATGCACAGGTAGTAGTTACAGCGCATGCGTGGCGGCTCTACACACGCCAAACTCCACGACAGATGGCGTTCTTGCTCTCGCTCAACTCCGAACTGCATGCAGCGCCCACAGAAATAGAATAGAAGTTCTATTAGTTGCTTATTACTATTAGTTAACTATTAGTTAGCTTCTATTAGTTAGCTTCTATTAGAAGTTCTATAGAATAGAATAGAATAGAACTTCTATTCTATTTATGTGGCAGCGCCCCCTTCGTACAACTCGGGATACTCAAACTGCATGCAGCGCCCCCTTCGTACAACTCATGATACCACTGCCACAAAGCTGGTACTATTTTTCAAGTGGGCGGAGCTCCGGGGAAATCCAGCGAATGGCAATCCAATGCCGGCCGCGAAGTCGGCGCCGAACAAACATCAGAAACTTTTATGTTTTTCATGTTTGTTGGTGGACAAATTTAGGTGTTTTAAGCTTAATACGCAAAAATGTATCAAAGACAATATTCGAGAATTAGGTATATTGGCAAGCATCCGAAAAATTCATGATAAATATTAAATAAACAGGTGAACTTAGTTTATTAAACAGCGTAATAATTTGAAAGTAGCAAATGGGCGCACAATCCGCGTACTGTTTCGTATCACTATTTTATCAAATTTTTCATTAAAAAAATCAAATAATGGTCCGATTTTTATTATATTTGCAACTTTTATAAGTACAAAGTTACAAACCGTATTACATAGGACAGGAGTAACGGGGCCGCTGTAAAACTTATAGTAAAAAAGCGTAAAAAAATCTTACGGAAATGTAGTTGTGGCAGTGGTAAATGAGCGATGAGCGAGAGCGAGAGCGCCATCTGTCGTGGAGTTTGCACACACGCTCATACACGCGCTCACTATATATAGATTTCTTGGTGGTTTCCAGATGAGAGAAATGTCAGAAATGAGACACTTTGCTACATTTTTCAAATCTATACTGACGAATGCCTCGTGTTAGTGCGTCGACGTTCCCACGAATCGATGACCAGTTGCGATAATTCTGCTCGTTATAGCGTATCCGCTGTTTCGCTGTGCGCGGTAACGCGTGGAGACATGAACGATGGCATTGGCGTAACCAACATTTTACTGTCGTTTTGAATTATGCTGGTTTCTTACACACATACACGCGCCCCCCACGCACACACACATACGTACGTACAGACACACACACACACACACACACACACACACACACACACACACACACACACACACACACACACACGCACTACACATACGCACACACGCACACGCACGCCCCCCCCCCCCAACACACAGTCACACACACACACGATCCCCTACCTCTCAGCTCTGCAATCTTTGTTTTGGGCGCTATGCAAAAAGGTGACAGTTTTGTTCGTTGTTCTCTGCTCCCAAGATATGTAACTGTTCAGTGGCAGATCAAGTATTCCAGGGGGAGGGGGGTGACAAACAGGCCCAATGTGGGTCCAACCCCAGAAAATTTTGAAAATGTAGATCGCATGTGATGGTATTTGTAGTATAGCACCTTTGAGTACATGCACAGCCTTCATTCTGACTACGACACTTCTCTTTTCAGTATAACAATTCTTCTTCTTTTTACTTTTGGATTAACAGGGGGGTCATGGCCCTCCTTGCCCCCTCCCCTAACTACGCCACTGCACACACACACACACACACACACACACACACACACACACACACACACACACACACA